TTACTGAAATTATTACTGAAATGCTTTCATATGACTTGATTTCAGACTCTAAAACAATCTGTTGATTTTTATTTTTGAGACATTTCATTATATATATATAATGTACATGGAATAACCAATAACCATATATTGTTAGTGTTTGATCTTTCAAAGTTTTAAACGCAAAAATGTGTTTGTCGGACGTTCAGTGTCGCTTTCCTGTAAGCCTAGAAGTTTGACAATGGTGTTTGGAATGTTGAACATGATTTCACTGACTATCCAAACACCATTGTCAAACTTCTAGGCTTACAGGAAAGCAACACTGAACATCTAACATACACGTTTTCACGTTTAAAACTTCAGCCTCAACCTCGCTATTAAGTTCATTTATCTGTTCACTACTGCTTAGTAGGGGGTTTGCAAATGCAATTTTTTGTTTTTTAATCTAGTGTGCTTACTCTTGTAAGGACAGGTTTAGTTTCCTTGATAATAGAGCAATGCATTTATCTCCACTACTAGATTTACTATTATGTTTTGGATGCATTTCTGAAGCATTAATTGTAAAAGTTTATAAAAATTGCAAACAACAGCGAAAAATGCCATTACTCCAACATTACCAACTTCGATGCCACCTCACAAGTGGCAATGAAACATCATAACTTGCATGAAAACAAAAAATAAATAGAAAGAAATAAATCCACATTATTTATTTATTACTGGTTAAAGATTGAGTTTAACACCATCCCACGACCAACAAGAATATGAAAGATTTAAGTTTATATATAAACAGCAAAGCAGATATATCTGGTTTGCACTTTGTTTCTTACAGCATTTTCAATTTCAAAAAATGAAAATAGAAGATACTGTAAAATTGATTTTTTTTTTGCAATACTTCATACTTGCCATGGACTTCTTGCTACCTGAGAATGCAAGGCCAGTTTTACCATTCGTCAAATCTAGGCTATTGTCAGGGGTATCAAGATATGGGAGCATCACCTTACACATCAAAAAAGATGGACTGTAAATTAGTGTTAATAAATAAAATTTTCTTCAAATGTTCATAATGATATTTTATAAATAGCCACATGCATGGGTGTATATGTGCTTATGTATGATAATATACAGTATATATACAGATAGAGAATTTAGGCACTTTTATACATTATCTTCTAGGGTCATCTCTTGTGCCAGCCCTGGAAGAACATTTGAATGAGTTGAAATAAATGTCTTCTGATATTTAAAAGCAGTTCTTACGTCTTTAAATACTCCTTACTAGTTCAACTTTAGTTACTAATTAATTAACCTCCTAGATTGAAACTCTGGGAGGGCAGATGAAGGAATATAGAGTGATTTGAAGGCAGAAGACATACATTAGCACAATGCTATCCCAAGAGGCTCTTAAGAAGGAAGCAGTAGTTATTCAAGGAGAAACAAAAATGATTAAAGAAATGAGAGAATAGAGGATTTTTGCAAGACTAAGAGATTTTGTATAAATAGGGAAAGTTTGAGAAAGGATACCCAGGCATTCTGGAGCTTGGAAATGGTTTGAGATGATGATGATGACAGTTAAAAACTAATGCAATTTTAGATGTGAAACCTACTAAAATAACAATATACACAGATTACTTGTAAGCCACTAGAAGGCCATGCATGGTATAGTGATTGTCTGCTACTGGTAGTTTACATTCAAATGTAAGATCTTAATGCATTTGCAATTCGATTTTTGTTCAATTTTTTCTTTGGGATTTGAAAGTTAAGAAAAACATTGAAAAAGAATAATGTTCTTATGTCTTTTGTATTCTGTTTTTGTATTTATCTAATTTTGATGTTTCAACTAAATTATGTTGCTTCCTCTGAAGATGAGTTTTACAACCTAAAAATAGTAAGGAATACATTTTAAGCTTGTGGTTCTCCAATAAAATACACTGTTTGAATTGAAATGATTACATATTAAAATTAAAAACTGACTCAAGAAATTTTAACTTAAAAATCCACAAGTTGCTTAACTTTCCGGCACCATCTGTTGTGATATTTTATTAAAAAACTTTTTATATTTTTAACTATTGTAAAATGACAAAAAGCTTAATTTTGAGGGTTGGGATGAGTTTTATAAAAAAAATTTGTAAATGCTAATAATGAGTAAAATTATTAAGTCTAACCCTATTGGAGATACATGTGACCCCTTTATCTCCCCACCCCCTTGAGTTTTAATTACTAAAATTTAAAAGCATCAATCCTCCTAATAAACAAACCTCCTTGCAAAATTTCAGAAATTTTCGACAAAAAGCACAGGAGTTATTAAGCTTTAAAGAGAATGAACAAAATCGTGCCCCCACACTAACACTCATGTAAACAGCAAAAACCACAAATTGTTTGCTTTTCTCAACGTTTCAAGGAATCCTAAGTTCAAAACTGTAAAAATCTTGGGGGCCATTTTTTACCAATTGCCATATTTTCCCTCTATTATATATATAACAGCCAGAAAAGTAAAAATATTCTACAGCTAAATAAAATTAAAGCCAAATAAAATACTGGATTATCAGGCTATATTAATGCTAATTTTAATAATTAATACAGCCTGATAATCTGGTAGTTAATTTGGCTTTAATTAAAAATTGTGTTAATGGATTGAATCTTTATATAAATAAAGTAGTAAATTACAAAAATATACACATATAAGTGATGAGATATTTCCTATTTCAGTTTATATGACAATAAATGCAATAAGAAATCCAGTTCTTAAGTTTGATAAGTACAGCATATCAATGGTAAAATTAATTGCATCAGCATTATTAAAGTACTGTACATACAAAGAATTCTTCCTCATCTTCCTTTCTATATATATACATCATCTTCATATGTTACATTCATAATATTGAGACTTTAAATGTTGAAAAGGAGTTTAAATTAGATGATCATTATCAAAAGATCATTTGAACTGATGTGAATATTGAGCAGTTTAAATGAAAACATCTATTATTGGTGAATAATATACTATGTGATCTATTCTCCAATTGTTGTTTTGGACTGTGATTGTAAGATGCATTTCTGTTTTAACAAGTAAAAATGTGTAAGAATGTATCTTATAATTGAATAAAAAATCACATCAGACAAAAAATTAGTCACTCCTGTCAAAACGCACCTTATAACAGGTAACGATACCTCTTGCACTGTTGGATGTTTTTCAGTTGATTGCAAATTACATCACTTGAAACCTGCTGGACAAAATGATTCTACACAACACCAAATTGGGTGACTTCATTTACTTTAGATTAAATAATATCTTACATACTTTTTCGGTAACACTGTATTTTATTCAAATAAATGTTTTCGACCATTTTTATAGGCCAGCATCAGATTTAACATATAAACTAGATTTGAACTAAAAGTTCTAATTAACATTCTTATAGCATTTTATAGTATTGCTAAAAAAAGTATTTAAGGTATTCAATCTACATTAGTTTCAGCTTGGATAAAAACCACTTTATGTCTGTAGGCATGGCCAAACACGATGGCTCCTTTTTTCCACTTGGTAACATCTGTCATAGGACCCAACACTTGCATTGCTTTTCACCACATGGTCTACAAGATCATTTCTATCTCCCAACAAATTCTCTCGTGGCACTCTCTGCACAACTGCTAACTACTTACTATCATTTCTATTAGGGAAAACTAATTTTTTGTTTCATGTGTGCTTAGGTGAGTGTATTTTAAATTCAGAGAGAAATGAACTGGTCTAAAGTGTTTTGATAGGAAGCACAAACACAGGCACACAAGAAAGTATAATTTACACATTAGAATAAGTATTTTTTCTATTTATAATACTTAACAAAGATGCGAACTATCATTATATACTAGGAAAACGTTCAACCTTAACTAGCAAATTTATTAGTACTTGATTGCTTGCTGCTCTCTCTCAATTAGTTGTATGTTCTTTGGAACTTAGCATAAAGTTGTTATTGAGAACAAATAATACAAGAACACTCTTTTTGACGGAAAAACTAGATTTATTTTTTTATAATTTAGAACAGATATGTATTTCGGGCTCTATGCCCTCTTCAGTCCTTATTTTATTATGTATGTCGGTAAAAATAATTATAGTGACAGCTGGAATAAATAACAATTAAAACCATGGGTAAAATAAAAATATTTTGTATGATACAGTGGATTAAAAGCTAACCAAAATATTTTTATTTTTATGGTTTTAATAATTAGTTATTTCAGCTGTCACTATAATTTAGTTTTTACCAAAATACATAATAAAATAAGGACTAAAGAGGGGATAGAGCCCAAAATGCATATACATTCTAAATTATAAAAAATAAATCTACTTTTTCCGTCAAAAAGAATGTTTCTGTATGATTTGTTCTCAATAACAACTTTATGCTAAGTTCCAAAGAACATGCAGCAAATTTATTACTACTTGTACAGAATCTCTGTGGCTATCATTAGGATAATGGAAGTAACAGAATATTAAATATAAATTAAATTACAATATGGTGTGTAGATGATAATAATAATAATGAAAATTAACCTTATTATTTTGTTATTATGTCCAATTTATAGTTGATAATGTGTTAATATTTCAATTTGAAATTTCAGTGTTGTAATTTGATTTAAGTGTTATGTTCTATTAATATTATTCCACTATGAGTTGTCCTGAAGATGGTTGCAGAGAACAGCCAAGAGCATTTGATGTAATAAGTAGATTTGCTGGATAAGGTTTAACCTCTTTTTTGTCTCAATCAGATAAAAGCAATATGTTGCTATTTAAATTAAGCCAGCAAATTTTGTTTTTTACTATTACTTTAAATAATACTTTTTGACTAGTATATAATAACTTATAACTATATACAGTGGAAATTAAAGGTCAGAAATTTCTAAAGTTTTATATAATGCAAATGTAAAAAGGTATTAAAGACTAGATTATAAATTATTTTAAAAATTTATTAAATGTTCATTTTAATATAATATTTAATTTTATATGATATAAATACTGATGATTATTTTTTTTTGTGTAGGTAACTGTTGAAGCACCATTAGAACATCCATTTTTTATTTTTAATCAGGGATGGTCATCATGTTCGCCTGAACAATCCCAACAACGATATAGGTTGACATGTAGCAAACTTAAAGTTGGAGACATATGTATCTCATTAACTCATAAAAATACACAAACTTCTGGACAGTCACTTCCTTCATATGTTTGTGATTCAAAACCTGTTTTAGTGCCAAATTCAGTTGCCAATCCAAATCAGAGTGCCATATTTTTGCCTTTACAAAAATTTCACTCACATGATCATAAAAAATCTGATAATACTGTGTGCCACACTCCAGATTCTCTTCATTCTGATAAAAACGCGTCGCAGGTGAGAACGACAAGAAAGCGACGCTGGTCGGCGCCCGATCAATTCTCGTTTTGATGACGTGCAAAATAATCTGCATATTAATTAATTAAAAAACAACACCTTGCAAGTGAATTGTGATCTTTTTACAACTGTTTTTTGTAAATATTATTCAGCTTAAAATAATTGTGTTTGTTGTTTGTACATTGATATACCAGAGTTAAAAATTATTCTCTTTAATGCTTCAAATCTTGACACTTTTCGTTACTTTAATTATATTAGTATATATATTATATATATATATTTAAAAAAGATTTTGTATTTTTATTGAATTTCTCTTTGCAGCTCAGGTTGCAACTATTTGCTAAATTAACTAATTATATTGGGAAGATATGATCTTAAGGATATTGCCTGTGTGCTAAGTAAGCTACACGAAACTTAATGAAACAACTTTAAGCTTTCCAGAGGGTAATTATTCTTGAGATAACATCGATATTCCTTTGAAGGAATAAAATTTTCCACATGAAAATTAATAAGAACTGTGATAATTTTGAATCCTGGTATGTTCCTCAGCTAAATTGGATCTCTGTCAATTTTTTTCCTAAGTTTGCATCTAATATGTAATTATAGCAGATGTATGTAAAAAAAATATATATGTTTGTTTGTCTAAATGTATGTGTGTGCATTTGTACATGCCAGAATGTGCTGTACAAACACACACCAAATATATACTGTAGCATTCAGGTTAAATCATTTGAGTTAGTGTCCTTAAGCTTTTAGAAAAGGCATTTTAATAATGAATAAAATTATCTGTAAAATTATACTTTTCTTTTTATACAGGATTTTTTGAAAAATAATTGACATTTTAAAAATCTACAATTTTGTAACCATAATTATAACCATACAAATATGTTGGATTTCTTTATAATGCAAATTTAAGTTGATTACATATATCAGGACTGGCCATATGTTGCCTACCAGAATTACAAAAGCTAAATTCTCTACGAAAACTGTATTTTATATAAGTTTATATATATACATAACTTATACAAGAACTGCAGTAAGGGTCTAGAAGAGCTATAATGTGGTCACCATAGACATGTATTGTCATTTTCTTCTTGAACATTCAACAATATCTTTGAGTATTCTGCTAGATTAATTACATATTTTGGCTAATTTTTTAACTATTAAATTGAATTAGATGTATTTAAGATAACTTCAAAGCCAAGACCTTGTGATTTTACATAATTACAGGAAAAGGTTATCTATCAAAAGTATTTCTCAAATATTGAATGGTAAATTAAATTCCATTAATTCTCAAGCACACAATTTTTATATAACCTCACTACATAACAAAATTGAAATGTCAATTATTTTTGAATGATTATTATTATTCCATATATATAGTGGTTGTGACTGTTAGTTACTTTATTGGAAAGAAAAGCTGATTTTGCAGATTTTATTGAGCATTCGGAATGCTTTATCTAAAGGTTTACAATGACCAAAAATATGACTTTTGCCTGAATGCCATTGATATATGCTTGTACAGTATAGACTATTCAGAGCTTTTTCTGGAATTGTGACAACAAATTCGTGCTGTTTTATACAAATGCAGTTATACAACACAATAAAAAGTTGTTAATTTAAATCATGTCTGTTTTTCTATAATCATTTTCTAACACTAAACTATAGCAAATACTCCAGAATATGACATATAAATTTAAAAAGTTTCTTAATAATCCAAAAGTTAATATTAATGAATTAAATATTCAATCTCTGTTAAAGATATGAAACAGAAAAATCAAAAGTTTCTGCAGCATATTTTTGTTCAAATGAAATCACTAAACTAATAAAGATGCAAACACTTCTAACATTAAGCATTGAAATACATTTGGGCTACACATATTTATAAGGAAGATTAATGAAAACAAGTACAATAATTATCCAGCGAGTGATGGTGGGCAGTATGGTGAGAGTCTTAATCGCAAATGCTAAATGATGCCATACATATAACTTACGCATATACATTGTGAATTTATATGATGGTCAATGCCTCTTGACTGCTCAGAGTGCAGAGCAAGAACCAAACCATACACAGGATGCCATTCCATTGCAAGGTGCATATGCACATACACTTGATCATACTAAGAAAATTTATACATGCCAATTAACATTCATGTACATTTTTGGAATATCACAGGAACCAGAGTAATTGGAAAAATTCCATGCAGATACAGGGAAAACATGCAAACTCCACACAGACAGCTGCCCCAGCTGGGATGTGAAATTTTTTTATTGTCATTATTATAATGTAACTATGTCATAAGTCCTCAAACAAAATCATTACATATACCATTATGTAATATACATATTTAGAGAATGAGTAAACATATGCATTTATGTATATATGACCCTATCTACATGAATGAACAGTAAGCTGGTTGCTTGAAAGATTAATTATATTTGTTTAACTGCTGGTTTAATATAATCTTTTGTTATGATGATGGAAAACTCCAAGTTTAATACAGTAGAGTGTCAATTATCCGAAAGAATTCCAGTCGGTAAATTTAAATTTTCACCAGTGCTGTGGCGCTGCAATCTTTGGCTATGTCTTGGGCTACTCAAATATTTTACGTTTTTGATACTAAATTAACTTCTGAAGTATAATTTTTTATTGTTTTTATATTTTTCAATATATTTATTTTGTTTGTACAAAATAAAAAAATAATTTTTAACGATACAATAGTCTTCGTTAGGCTTAACATTGACGAAAATTCAATGCAAAGCGACACGCAACGGAGAAAATTTCAACATGGGTTAGGTTAATATATTTTTTCATACATAATCAGTTATCCGAAACATCGATTTTCCGAACAACCCCAGTCCCCAATTGATTCGGATAATTGACGCTCTACTGTATATGAACAATACATAATAAAGATTACATTATTTTTAAAAATATATAAAATTCACACACAGATAAAAACTATTCAGCACAATATAAAAGCAGTTGGTATAATTTTATAAGAAAATGTTTAAATTAAATTTATTTAAAATTTATGAATGAACTTTTTATGAATAAAGTGATAAAAGTTATCTAATTAAATTATATGAGAAATTGGTATAGGCTAAGCACTGGCTTATTAGGGCCATAAAATTGGTCACAATTTCACTCATTTAGGCAAACATGAATACAGTCAGCACATATTAAGGAGTGTCAAGTAATATCCCAACCCAACCTATATTTATCTAATTAGAATATGCAAAATTCTTACCATTAAGGTTTACTTGATATTTGATAATTCTGCAATAAAAATTGCTTATTAGAAAACATTCAAATTTGAAATATTTCAGACAAATTGAGCAAATTTTATGCAAAAAGTTCAGAAACTTACCATAAGAAATAACATTTTATTCAGTGGAAAAATTAAAGTTGTTTTGCTACAAATTTGAGAGTATGTTTTAAAAAAATACTAATAATGAAAAGCTTACAGATAATCAAGTTAGAAATTCTCTCTCCTGATGTTTATATTATGTAAGTTATGTGAAAATCCAATTACAAAAATCATAGAAATTTGAACTGTTTGATCATAGTATAGAAACACAGTAGAAATGCAGTTCTGAATGAGGCAGTTGGGACCTTATCAGAGTTGTAGATCATGCTCACAGGAGTAAAAAAAGTCAAAGAAACTGATGGTTTAGGCTTGACCCTTCATGAGATATAACTATCCAAAATTGTCCTTTCAGAATTTTGAAGACCCTCAAAACTAGGTAAAATTTAACAGTGAAAAATCCAGAACTATTTCTCAAAACAATGCTAACATCAACTGTTTTCCACTTCACTAGAGACAGCTAAAACAGACAAAAACACTAGAAATACAATTATACTAATTATTTCTGGGATGCAACTGGAGTCATGCTGTATGCTCCATTAAGCTTATCACTTGTTTAACAAGCAGCCTGGTCAGCTATATCTCATGAAGGATCACATGTAGACCATCAGTTCCTTTGATGTTTTTACTTTTAGATCTACAGTTCTGATAAGGTCCATCACCTCATCTTTGGAACTGCATTTATACTAAAAATATTAATTAACGATGCCAAATGGCTAATAAAATGCTCCATAGATTAGAATTATCCATTTTTTTTTAAATAAGAAACTAAGAAACTGTAAAGCAAGTGTTCATTTAAGGTTTCATTAAATGAAATGTGAGTGTTGAGCAAAGCAACATGTAGAAATAATATTGCAGGGTGATATCAAATACTGTATTTTGAAAACTCAAAGAACAGATTGAAAAAATTCCAGCATTCTATAATGAATAATATCACCTGTTATCTTCTAGTTATTTACTTATGAAGACCGTAAAAATCATCTTTGTAATCATGCTGCCAGAAAAGATTATCTGCATATTATAGTATAGGATGCAAGAATTTTACTTCTATTCTTTAGATTTTTTTTGATATCTTTTAAATATATAAATATCAAAGATTTTACCATTGAAAATGAGCAAAAATCAAAAAAAATAAAAATACTTGGATTATAAATCACTTCAGAAGAAGTCTGAATAAAGCATTTTTATCTTTTACCATGATCGGGTTTGTTTGGAAGTTTAAATTTTGCAAGTCCTGGGGTGCACTTGGTGCCAATATACTTAATAAACAGAGTTATGCAAACTGTCTTTCGACACTAAAATATTTTTATTAGTAAGAGAATGTACTAGTACTTTCAATGATGCGTCATTGTCTTTGCCATACAACTGACTCCAACTAGAACACAATATAAAATTCAAATTACAATGGAATTCAAAAAAATAAACAAGTTATTCCTGTTATAGCACATTTTTATCGTTTATTATTATTTATTTTTTCTCTTTATTTGCACATTTTGTTATTTTATTTTTAAACCTGTGCTAATAAAAATATTTTAATGCCAAAACAGATTGTGTAACTGTGTTTATTAAATTTTGCAATTTATTCAGTTTCTTCCAGAACAGACAGATGAGTTAATGCATTTTTATTAAGTTTTCCTGATGTTTATTATTTCAATAATGGTTAGAATATTTTGATTTAATATATAGTTGCTCTTTTTACTAATATTCACAGCAAGCAAGAATTTCTAAGAGGGAATAACAAAAAATGGTGGCAATAACTTATGAATTTTCATTAACTGAATAACATTCTTTTATAAAATATCTGACAAAGACAATATCATTTTTTAAGACCTAAAAGATTTATTAATCTTGTTTAATACTTGAGTAAGTCTCTCATCTATTTATGACATGTAATTAAAAAATATTTCAAAATAATAGTGATACTGACTGGCAAGATTGTCCATCAACTTCAAAATATGTCTTTTGTTTAGGCTGACTAAAGAATAAGAAAAATTATTGCATTATAATTGATGAAACTATACAAAATTATGAAAAAAGTATGATTCTGTAAATAAAATCATTCATAATATAACAAAATATAAAATTATCAGAAAAATGAAAACTAACACTTTCAAAAAGGAAGCATGTTACAGATAATTGTAGCCATTCATCTCCATAACAAAAATATAAATAACTATATACAGTATGTATACCCTTAATCTCAATCAAGCTATCAACATAATGTCCTATGTATAACATGCAAAAATTGCATGAATGCATAGCTAGTACCTGCTTTCATACTAACTTTAAACACAAACAACGTGCAGGCTATACACAGGAAATTTTTTCCATGTTTTATACCTGTCATGTGAGAGTTAATTGTAATTACATTAATTGAATTCATTTTAAATTACAATAATATCTTGAAAGAAAAGCCAAGGTTGATTTTGTACTCAATGAAAAAATTCTTCTCAACATTTACTGATCTTATCACATGATAAAACTAAAGATTTTATAGGAAACTTTTTAAAAGTTTAGTTGTAATTGTTTACTAAATCTTTCTTTATTTTTAAAACTTATTACACTTTAATTACCATTACTTAACAAGAAATTAAATGAAACAAAATTATTTAAACACCTTTCTCATCTTCTAAGAAAGCATACAATTTATAAAAGATGGAAAACAAACAACATTTACAGAAGCATTAAATGTTTTTATTATTTAATGTATCGTTATTTAATAATTATCATCACTTTCTTATAAATAATCTTACTATTTGCAGAATTTTTTTGTTTTATATTATCCAATATCAATTACAAGAAAAACAGTAAATATTAAAAAATTAGCAATATAAATACTTCAATTTTCATATACTGTAGCAATAAGTTAATATTAATAGTATTAATCCAATATAATCTTAAAAATTAATGAACAAATTAAAGAAAAAGCATGTTTCATTGGTTACTTGGAATAATGTTTACTGTTTAATTAATTAGTTAATTGCTCAGCCAAACTTAAAATTCGGACTTATTTCAAATAAAATTACAATAATCTTCAATTTTGTTATATTAAAAGTCAACCTTTTAAATCCTAGAATTTGTAGTTTAAAAATTTATAAATTTTTTCTTAATAGAAGTAAATTTTTTAAAAATATATTTCCTTATAAATTTAATGAAAAGTATGAATGAAGAGTTGTTTAATTAAATTGCCTCAATGTCCTTTTTTCTTTTTAATATGTAAATTTTCGACTATAAATTTGTATCTTCTATTATCAGGACTTATTATACTGGTTTTACAGATAATATTACAAAGATTAACAGAAAACAATTTTTATTTTATTTCATGTACCTGGACACATACACAATTTTGCGTTTCGGACATATTCGTCCCTCCTCAGCAGGTATTTAAATATGTTCTATAAACAATAAAAATTTTTTATTGTTTATAGAACATATTTAAATACCTGCTGAGGAGGGACGAATATGTCCGAAACGCAAAATTGTGTATGTGTCCAGGTACATGAAATAAAATAAAAATTGTTTTCTGTTAATCTTTGTAATATTATCTGTAAAACCAGTATAATAAGTCCTGATAATAGAAGATACAAATTTATAGTCGAAAGTTTACATATGAATGAAGAGATTTAAAAAAAATTAATCATTGAAATATTTCACATAAATTAAGATAAATTGGATCATAGAAACAGTCTAAAAAATATTATATAAAAAAAGTAATTCTAACTCATTATCATTCTAATAATATTTGATAAGATTATCATTATTAAAAATATTAAATTTAACAATTTATAGTAATTTAAAAATGAAAAACTCAATGTAAAATAAACCAAAACAGCTTCATTTTACAAAACTGTTTTTGTTTATTTACACTAAGTGTATTTGTTTAATTATTATAAAATATGGAAAAACATATTTTTTTTTTTAGTTATAAAGTGACAAGTAACAACTGTTGATTTCTTATCATTAAATATTTGATAGTTTAGATCTAAGTGCAGGTGTGATATTAATCAGCAATCAGTTTGAAACAGATAATTAATTAATCAAAAATTATCATCATCATCATTATAAAAAAATTATTATAAAGTGTGACAAGGACAATAAATATCAAATTTATAATCAGAAAATGGAATTTCACTAACAATGACACGATGAAAGAAGATAATCTGTTCTTCTTTGTTTTTGTGATCACAACTTTTAATTATATCAATATATATACGAATCAGATATTTGAGAAATCCCACATCACAAAGCCATAATTTTTCAGGAAATACAAAAAAACTATATAGCTCTGGTATGACATTTTGCTCTGTCTTGCTACTTTACATGCTGACAGAGGCATTGTAGTGCAGTTATTATCACACAAACTTACTCTGAGTGGCAAGTGGAAGCAGGATATGACAGCATTTTCAAAATGCCTATCTCAAAATTGACTGCTAGCTGACAAGTGGGATTTCTCAAACAGCTTTTAATAAGAATATAACAAGATAATTGAAACAATACAGAAATATTAGTATCATATATTAAAAAACTTTCTGGATATTGAAGTATTAAAAGATGTTTTAGTCAAATTTCTACACTTCATTTTTTTAAAACTAAGTATAAAAATTCTTTTGTATATAAGCACAATTTTAATTTAAAATTTTATGCTTAATAAGAGAGAGATATCATTTTTTACAATATTAATAAAGATAATTGCTTTGCAGTAGATAATTATTTTAAGAGAAATATTTCCAATCCCATATTAAACTATCTTTTAATCCTATAGGAAACAGTTTTTTATTTCACATAGAGCTGATAACAATCAAATTATAATTTGTATTAACTTCTGTCCCACATAAAATTAAAGAATGATTTAATAAAGTATTAAAAATGTTTCTAATAAAGATATCACTACTCAAAATAGTTATTTAAGTAGTTAAGTCATCAATCAAAACAGCCAGGAGTTATAGCTGCCATGATCAGATTTTATCAGGTACAGATTTGAACTTCTAGCCTAATCTACTGAGCTACTCTGATTTGACATATTATCAATACATTTGAAATATGGGGTTTTCCCAGTCAAAAAATTACGGAATCCAGAAACCTTAACAATAATTTAGAATCACTTTTGTTTGTAATCACAACATTGAAAGTGTATTTAATTTATATTTTATTAATTAGCCTATTTTTTATTGATTGGACTTTATATAAGTAATTATGATTTAAAAATTATAGAATCTGCTAAGAAAGCATACAATTTATAAAAGATGGAAAACAAACAACATTTACAGAAGCATTAAATGTTTTTATTATTTAATGTATCGTTATTTAATAATTATCATCACTTTCTTATAAATAATCTTACTATTTGCAGAATTTTTTTGTTTTATATTATCCAATATCAATTACAAGAAAAACAGTAAATATTAAAAAATTAGCAATATAAATACTTCAATTTTCATATACTGTAGCAATAAGTTAATATTAATAGTATTAATCCAATATAATCTTAAAAATTAATGAACAAATTAAAGAAAAAGCATGTTTCATTGGTTACTTGGAATAATGTTTACTGTTTAATTAATTAGTTAATTGCTCAGCCAAACTTAAAATTCGGACTTATTTCAAATAAAATTACAATAATCTTCAATTTTGTTATATTAAAAGTCAACCTTTTAAATCCTAGAATTTGTAGTTTAAAAATTTATAAATTTTTTCTTAATAGAAGTAAATTTTTTAAAAATATATTTCCTTATAAATTTAATGAAAAGTATGAATGAAGAGTTGTTTAATTAAATTGCCTCAATGTCCTTTTTTCTTTTTAATATGTAAATTTTCGACTATAAATTTGTATCTTCTATTATCAGGACTTATTATACTGGTTTTACAGATAATATTACAAAGATTAACAGAAAACAATTTTTATTTTATTTCATGTACCTGGACACATACACAATTTTGCGTTTCGGACATATTCGTCCCTCCTCAGCAGGTATTTAAATATGTTCTATAAACAATAAAAATTTTTTATTGTTTATAGAACATATTTAAATACCTGCTGAGGAGGGACGAATATGTCCGAAACGCAAAATTGTGTATGTGTCCAGGTACATGAAATAAAATAAAAATTGTTTTCTGTTAATCTTTGTAATATTATCTGNGAAGTTTTTCATTAAAAAGTCTTAGATTTATTGAAAAAATACAAAAAGTATTTCAATAACTTTTTAATAGCTATATGTTATAAACATAGCTACATAAATTCAATTACATATGAACTTTTTTTTATACTTAATATATAAGTTTTTCTTTTTTTTATTGAAAAACTAAATTTTAATTGCTCAATTTTTTAAAATGAGATGTATCAATATAGTAGAAAATTTTTTAGCAAAATGCTTTTTTAATGTTTTTTTTTCTACTATACATATTTATTGACAATATTTACATCAATCACTTGTATTCTCATTTTCTTCACTTTAGAAGTTTGGAATAAATGAGAAACGTTGTATATAATATAATGTGTAAAAAGTAACCTTTTTGAGCACAAGGAGGTAGAATGAATTGTTCCTGTTGTAGTGCACAGGTAAACAATAATCACAGACAACCTAGGTTAAGACTGATCAGCAGGATTAGAATCCTGTAGTTCTTTGAGAACATCTGTTCCTGCAAATATTTGAATTTGTTGAGATTGTTGCATCTGAATAAACTGTTCTGGAGTTGCATGGACAACTTGAATCTCTCCATGTTCTGTTTGAATTACCTGAAATTTTTAAAACATGTTTTAAAATCTCAGTTATTGGGTAAATTGAAAATAATAATTATAGTTTATCTTGTTAACCTAATATCAAGTTTTCTTTTTGTATTACATATACAAAAATAATCAGAGTTTAAAGTATGGTACTTTCTGTGTATTTTATAAGACAAAAGATTTTCTCAGATAAGTTGTTTACTGTATAATTTTTGATTAAAGAAAAGGTTAATGGATCAAATAGATACTTTTGAAAATATTTTTCTTAGAATTTCAGAAAATTGTAAATTGTGATGATTAATCTTTCTTGATTATAACACTGTTATTTGATTAATTTTTTTAACTGCTGAACTGCATATTTTTTAATCTGCACAATAAATGATTATTTATCTAAAAATTTTTTTATTTCAGTCTATGATCTGTCTCTCTTCATATGTCAAAGACAAACTGTGTCATTACAATCCATCCTTGACACATGCTAATGATGATTTTATATTTGAAAGCTTCTGTAAAATGAATTTTATGTAATCTGGAAACAATAAAATATTGCTGCTATATTCAAGATATGCCAAAATTATAAAAATGACATATCCTCAGAAAGAAAAATAATTACAGTAGATTCCCCTATAAGACCCTATATTCCTATAATTACGATTCCTATAAGACGGCAAAAATGTTGTGGCGGACAACGGTAAAAAACTCCTATAATTATGTAAAACGTCATCGGGCAGCCGAACTACTTTCCCGCCATCCGTAGCGCCACGCTACGGACGTTTCGGCAGGTAAATTGAGTTTAGTTTCGTCTGTACATATAATTATATATAAATTAGGTACTGTACATATAATTATATATTAACTTAATTTATTGTAACTTTATTATAATTGTATATATGCTTTCTGCCGCCACGCTACGGAGAGTTTAGGCGAACTATCATCTGTACAGTATGTAAATTAGGTACCGTAAGTCTAATACAGTACTGTAATTTTATACATTTCTTGTGAAAGAAACATTTCTTATTCAACGGCGATAAAAATTATTTATATTAATGACATCTCCAAAGTTCAGCGAAGTTTTTGCAGAAAAATAACATCAGAAATTGCGGCCACAGTTTGCTGAGTTGTTCCGCGACGAAAACAAGCTTGAGCAATGGCGATGTCGAATGGTGCACACTCGGTAAGTAATCCTACAATTTTTTGTTTATAGCATAGTTTATACGGATTATTTCCAAAAAAAAAATATACATATTTTGAAAATGTTGAGTCGGATTAGTCTAGAATCGATTAATTTTATGGAAGAAAACCTTTCAAACAGCTGTAGTCCGTAAACTTCACACGTGTCGGGGTGTGATTCCTACAAAATCGGATTCATAAAAAACAGAACGTATCTACTGTCTTATAGGGGGATCTACTGTATATATCAAAAAATTTAAAATATTATCTGAGACAGTGGTGAAGTACCTAAAACAGTACATAAGAAAATACATTCTTAATCACTAAAGAGTAAACAACCACTCACCACACCAGGATATAGTTAATCACACACTCTAAACCAATTGTTTTTGTTTACTTTCTTTATCTGCATACCATAATTGGTTTGGAGTATGTAATTATACATTCTTAATCCTTGCCCATTTTCATATATGTTTATTTTAATTTTACAATTTAATTAAATAATTCAATTATCTTATATTAAAAAATGTAAATTATTAATTTCTAACCTGCTGTCCTCCAATAATATGATTTAATGGTAGGGAAACAGAGGCACTATCAGTTTGATGAAGTTCCATTGGAATACCATGATTAAGATTAATACTATTATCCATTCCTAATTCTGTTTCATTGGCTGAAATTGAATGCAAATCATCACTGTCAGATTTTGTCAAGATAACTGATGGAGATTCAGGAGGGGAACCCATTTCACTTCCTGGCATCAGATGAAGGTAAGAAGGTGGTAATCTAAATAATTTTAAAAAATTCATTAAGAAAGTAATGAATAATCTTATAACCTACAATATAACTTATATAATAGCTATTTCTTTATTGCATTGAACCTATATCAAACATTGTTTAACTGATCATATATTAACCAGATCAGTATGGTTATATCTAAATTAATTAATTGGTCTAGAAGCAAAGATTGGAAGAAGGTTTGGATAATGTAATTGGCAATGCATCTGCATGATAAGCAGGAGTTGCAGATTTAAGTCCACTCTGGAGTGATCTTTTCTTCCAGAATATTGTAAATTAAATTTATTTATAGAATAAATTACATTTTGTTATTAATCATTTAATTATCCTATATGTTGTATTAATAAGCCTTTTTTTCAACTGATAATACAATCCAAATTCTTTCCAGTCTTTTACTAAAATCTTTTCAATGGTGTTTAGAAATTCACAAAACATATAAGACCAGATTCAAAACCTTGTTTGTTAATTAGTAACTCTTGAAAATTAAATATGCCTCTCTTATGAATCAACTATATCAGATAAAATCTGTGGAAATTTTGTCGTAATTGTCAAATGATTGTTTTATTTGAATGAATAGTTCATTTACATAACCAGAAAATTTACACCCATGTAGGAAAATACACACAAGTTCTATTATATTTGTAATAAGATTTGATATAGTACATATTATAGATATTACCAAATGATGGTTTGCAAGTCATTTGTCAACTCAAGATGATGTTAAATTTTGTTACTGTTGTTGAAATGCTATTGTTTTCAATTTTTTGCAAGAAGAACTTTCAATAACAACTACCAGATTTTTTTTGACTTAAGTAACTTTCATAATTTAACTTTATAGAAGCTCCTATCACAAATATACTCATACAGTTCCAAACTCGTTGCAACTGTATCTCTCTTGATTGATTTCAATTTAGCAAAACTTACAGATCTTAAATACAAATTATCAACTTCCTAATAATGCAGCATTTGTGATAAACAACACCTAAATTCTAATTTGTTATAAGTGTATTTAACTCACCTGTCACGAAAAGCTTTAACAGTCAAAGGCATCCCTTTCTGCTTTCTCCTAAAAGCTGTTCGACATTTTGAATCTAAATTCTGTTTAATTCTATGCCAATCTTTTTCTGTGATATTAAATTTGTAAATCAAATGACCTAAAAAAAAATATTAAGGTAATTGATTTATTTCGTTATTAGTATTTTAATTTTAATAATTTGATAAGTCACAAAATATAAAAACTTAACTCTTCAAATAATAAAAATCAGTTTCAGAGCAAAATTTTAAACATAAAGTCATACCAAATTTTATAAAGTGAAAATTAAATTTTAATTGTTACATCAAAATCTTATATAAAAGTAGTCCATTCTTTTTTAAAATGTAGCATTCTTTCTATTTCAAATTTAATCAAAAAATTTAAATTTTACAGCTGATCTAGATATACAGTCGACCCCCCTATAACGTATGTTCCTATAACGGAAATTCCTATAACGTAGCGAAAAAATTGTAGCAACTTTCGTATAACTTACCTCCTATAACGTCGTTTTGCGACAAGATTGATAGAGTCTGGACCAATAGTGGATGAGCAGCCGAACTACTTTCCTTCGACCCTGCGCCATGCTACGGAGCGGCTAAATTGAGTTTGCTATCGTCTGTTTAGTATTATATATAAATTAGGTACTGTACATATAATTATATATTAATTATATATAAATTAGGTACTGTATATATAATTATATATTAACTTAATTTATTGTAACTTTATTATAATTATATATATGCTTTCTGCCGCCTGGCAACACGCTACGGAGATTTTAGGCTAGTAAGTTGAGTTTATTATCGTCTGTACAGTATGTAAATTAGGTACCGTAAGTCTAATACAGCACTAATTTTATACATTTCTTGTGAAAGAAACACTTCTTATTCAACGGCCATAAAAATTATTTATATTAATGATGTCTCCAAAGGTCAAGTTATTTTTATGCGAAAAATTCGTTATTAGAAATCGCGGCCGTCGTTTAATGTGCTGTTCCGCGATGAAAACCAGCTTTAAGCAACGGCGTAGTCGAACGGTACACACTCGGTAAGTAATCCTATAATTTTTTGTTTATAGCATAGTTTATACAGATTATTCCCAAAAAATTATACGTATTTTGGAAATGTTGAGTCGAATTAGTCTAGAATCGGTTAATTTTATAGAAGAAAACCTTTCGAACAGCCTTAGTCCGTAAAGTTCCCACCTATCGGGCTGCGATTGGCTCATGTATTTAATCATTCCTACAACGTCATTTTCGGTTAGCGTGGAACGTATCTAAGCGTTATAGGGGGGTCTACTGTAATTCAAATTTATATTTCTGGCTAAATCAAAATTACAGTAAATGTTTTTATTATTTTCTGCATTCAAATATTTTCAAAAATTTCAAGAAACAAAATTTACAAAATTACATTAATAAACCACCAAATTAATGCCTTACTTTTTATAATCTATGAAACCTAAACATAGAAATAAGATGTTACTTTTTTACAATTTTAAAAATATTTATAAAGTTTTTAAGTCTACTATTTCACTTTTCAATCAATAATCCATTCTTGTTGCTAAGAGTTTATACAATCATGAATGAGAAATTAAAATTAAATATTAATCATGACTGTATGAAATTTAAAGAACTTTTACATATTCACAGATATAGATTTTTTTCACTTCATGTTTTTTTTCAAGCAGAATTACTATATTATTACATATTCTGAAATTTACAAATTTTCCCACTAGATATTTTTGAGCAATTTTTTCATTTCTATTTCTGGATTGAAAAAATAATTTTTTGCAATTATTTTTTCAATGTTGAATTTATAATTTCTATTTAAATTAAACAGAATACAATATTAGAAAGTAAAGTACTTAAATTTTTCTTATACTGTTGGAACATCTATAAGCCAGTTTAAAATATTTACATTAATAACTGCTGTTTAATTATGTACTCATTGACAAAAAAAAAGTTACACAACCAAATAGAATTTAATGCAAAACTTAGTATACAGTTATATCTCAGATGGTATATAAATGATTACAGTTGTGATCCAATTGCACAAAAATTAACATCATCAAAACACCTTAAAATTATTATTCCTGGTATCCTATAAAAAAAATGTGAAGAGGCTCACTATGTTTCAAATTTTCAGTGTACAAGTATCTGCTATTTGGAGGTCTTAAACACAAGACAGGCTTGTATTATGCAGTCAGAGACATTATGCACAACTGACATTTAAGAAAGTTGCATCATTGGGTTGAGGAAAACAGGATGACTATTTTGCCAAAGTGCCTTCCATCTGGACTTTTCTGACCTGTGTGGAGGTGTTGGATGCAGTGGATATTTGAGGATGCACATACATGGTGGGCAGGTTTGGACACCCAAACACACCATCAGGGGAGATGATTGTCTGATCATGAGACAAGCACAAACAGTAGCAACAGTAATGACCTTGTTATTGACAAAAGTTTTTAAGTCTACTATTTATAAAATATTTATAAAGTTTTTAAGGATTTACCTGTCTCCAGATAATGGACAAAGGTCCATTATCCATTTGTCCATTATCTGGAGACAGGTGAATTCTTGTTACAGAAGCCTGTCTCTTCTCATACATTTGTCAAGTGATTAGCAGAGGCAAATTTGCATATATGGTAATTGCTGCAAGTCTTGCCATTTACCAATAGCACCCCAACTTTGTCAGCTTTATTTGCAATGGTGCTGCGACAGAGAAGCAAGAACTGCTACAGGCTAGTAGTGTATAGATTTTAGCAACAAATCCTGTTAGTTTGGAAACAGAAAGCCATAATATTAGTGAGAAGGACCACTGGTGAATGGTTCAATCCTTTTACTGTTGAGTGTATACTGCCCACTTCTGGTATGATGAGCTGGAGAGCCATCTTGTAAGACAGTCATGCAGACCTAGTAATGTTGCAAGGAACACTGATAGCACAGTGATATATTCAGAAAATCCTGTAACCTCATGTGTTACCTTTCATAACAATACTCAAACAGAAATTCTCCAACAAGATAATGCTTGGCTGCACACAGCTAAGGTTTCCCAGAAATTTCTACCATGTTGCCACACTTCCTTCACCTGTCTGATCTCTATATTTGTCACCCATCACAAGATAGCAAACTGGCTTTAGCATCTATAAATATGAGGGATCTGGATAAATATGAGTGGCAGAATCAACATCTGTAGGTAAATCTGCAGCAGAATAGCATAAGATGCCTGTATGTCTCCATCCCGACCATACTGCCACATGTATCCAGGCAAGAGGAAGTTCTACAAGGTACTAAAAGTGCCTTTAAACTATAGCATTATTGTAAACAATAGAAAATTATTCTTTTGTTATGATAATGTAATCATTTATTACCATTGTCATACATTCACACTAATAAAGTTTCATTTGATTTCAATGCCTCCTCCTTTGTATGTAACTTTTTTGTCAATGAGTTTGATAAAAAATTTTAATCTTAATAACTTACACCTAATTCCATAAATTTTTAATGGATCCAACTGCTTTTTCCCATGCCTTCCAGTTCCAGAAATATTAGAACAGGCTTGAGTTTCTCGATCAAATAAATAATCTAATAATGTCAGTGCTAATTTTTCTGGACTTGTGCAGCTTTTATTGATGTTTTCAAGATCACTAAATGTTAAAATGAATTATATAAATTTCTACAAAATATTAAATTTATTTCTGTTATTATCTGTTTAATTTTTCTGTCTTGAATCTTGAAAAAAATAATATAATTACAGTTTCTTTTTATGTTAATTGGTGTTGAGTAATAAGATTGAGATACGTAAATAATTGGAGCATTTTTTTTCTGTGATAATAAAANTGTAAATATTTATTTTTTTAAAACATATACATATTATTATTATTATTTATTGAAAAAATGATTTGGACTTAGAATTGATTCTCATTGCATAAAAACAAAGATAATACTGAACTAAAAATAAAGAACGGCATTGTTTTTGAAACTCTTAATCAGACCAAGTAACAGAATTTTGGCCAATAAAAACCATTTTTTTATGAATTTTCATTAACTAGTACTTGAATAGTAGTAACTTTTATCTTATAAGAGAACAAGAAAAAAATTTTAAATTGTTTCTTCTTTTACCACTTTTTTGTTTATCATCAAAATCATTTTTTTTGTTATAAAGAAAGTAAGATTACTTTTAAAAACTAAAAAGATGTAATATTAATCAATACACTTACACATGTTGCATTTTTTAAATTATTAACAACTAAACATGCTTTTCCAAACATTAAAAATTGTTTTATTGACAATCTCAAACATCAACATTTCACTTTAATGTTTATAATAAATATATTTGTAAAGAAAAAATTAATTGTACCTTGGAACAATATGACAGCGAACCCTCATTTCAGGATTTTCAGGATCACCTAACCACGAACCATTTGGATAATCAGCTAAATGAAAATATCAAAAATACTGGTATGAAACTGTTTATTAAAATAAAAAAGTTTATTCTTCAATTATTTCTAGAGTTAATATTTAGAGTTAAAAGGATTTTAATTTTAAAAAAATCATGTTTTATAGTGGAAGTCTACAAGATTTGGAATTGAGCTAAAAAAAAAAAAAAAACCAAAATAAAATTATTCAGAATTATGTTGTTAAATGATTATACTAAAAGATATATAACAAAATCCAAATAATTTCAAATTTGTACAAATCCCTCAAATAAAAGGTTTGTTTGAATTTATTAAATCTAAATTTACTGATTTTAAAGTTTTGATTATACTAAATTTTGGTGATAAAATAAAAAATATACTTTTATGAAAAAAATAAATAAATAAACAACAACAATAAAAATAAACAGAAGAGTAGTCTTTTAGAACAATATGGCATTGTATATAGTTTCCACAGTACCTGTAATAATCCCGTTACATATACAGAAGAAACAGGATATCCATTAGGTACAAGAGAAAAAGACTATCAAGCAGCTACTGTTTACAATAATGTCAATCACAAGTTTTTCAGCATGTCACAAAATTTGTGTGGTATAAGATAATAATTCTCTTACAATATTTGTTTATGAAACAAATTCATATAATGGAAAATTATATGAACATACTTATAAACAAATTTGGATAAGGTAATAAATATAAGTAAGGATTTGAATTTAACTACAGTTTGGAATGGAATATTATAAGAAAAATAATGAAATATTTTTAGAAAGTTTAAGTCATTTTGAGTTAAATTTTTTTTACAAAAATTATTCGAGAAAAAACATTTGTTTGAAGAGAAAAATTGGCAAATTTAAATAAAAAATCATTAATTTTATATAGATATATTTAATGTAAAACTTTATTAAAGTTAATTTTGATATTGTAAACATATTTCTAGCTCAATCATGTAAATTTTCCAGAAAAATGAATCTTGTTTATTTTTGTATTTTGTAATGGTGTTCCATTATGATATAAAATGCAGTAATGCATTAATTAACAGAGAACCCCCACTTTATTGTATGTTTATTATAGAAAATCAAATTGAAGTAAAGAAGTGATATGAGAAAATGTCATTTTTGCTTTAAATTAAAAATGTTTAAGAGTATAATTTTAATATTTAATTTCTACTATTTAAATTTAAAAAAAAAAAAATATATATATATATATATAACAACACNGCATCGATTATCCGACTCAATTGGGGACTCAGGTTGATCGGATAACTGAAAAAATCGGATAACCGAAAAGAATGAAAAAAATACATTATTAGTATAGTATATTAGTATATCCCATGTAATTAGTATTTTGCTATTAACCAACTTCGCGTTGAATTTTCATCGATGTTAAGCCTAACAACTTTTTTAAAATAATAATCGTCGCTATTGTATCGTTAAAAATTATTTTTAATTTAAATTATTTTATTGCTCACAAAACAAACAACCATTCATAATTAGAAAATTAAGTCTCATTTAAATACTGGTCTCCCTTCAATGGTTGAGTCGATGTTGCCAGCTAAAGCACGCAAAAATTTAACAAAAATAATATTAAAGTAGCCAAGACATAGCCAAATATTGTAGTGCCACATCACTAGCAGACATTTGAAATTTGCTGATTAGAATGGTCAGTTAACCGATGTGACGGTTAATCGGGGGTCGGATAATCGATGATCTACTGTACTTTCTAAAATTTTGTTAACATGCAGGTTTGTTTAAAATTTCTTAATGTGTAAAATAATTTAAAATTTTCTCATCAATGAAAAAATAGTAAAATTATATTAGTAATATTATATAAAAGTTTATATTATATTTAATATACTGTATATAAGAATCCTGTTAATTCTTTTTTCTATAAACTTTGAATGTCCAAATGCATCTGAAAATTAATATGATTTAATCCATTTTTTGAAGTGCTCTGATTGTGAAAGTTGTTTTAAGTGAAAAAAATGCTTCCTGGTACACACATTTCAAATATATCACCTCCTCCCTTAATTACAACTTAAAGTCTAATTAACCAGCTTATTTTCAGAATATAATTTGACTTAAGTTGCTGATCTGATATCACACTAAAGTTGTGTATATAACAATTTGAAATATTAAAAATCCTTCTAAAAGAAAACTAAATATTCTTAAATATCAGCTCACAATCTAAATCATTACAATAATACACTATAGGAAATAAACTTATTCTTCAGTTCCTCTACATTAAAATGATATATTTAAATATTAATTATAAAAAAATTTGAAGTTGGTTAACTATTTTACAGGTTGGTTAAATATATTTTTCCTATACAAAACAAAAATTTAATTTTATATTATAATTACTATATTATGTATTATTGTAAAACATATAGTTACTTTATTGTTACACAAGACACCTGTAAAATTTTTAAAATATATTCTCTATTTTATTTTAAAATAAATAGGAAAAATAAAATTCTTAACTCATTTCATACTGATAGCAATATCAAATGTATCTTTGTTTTAAATTTAAACATGACTTTTTTAATAAATTATGTAATTGTGGAATAAATTAACCTAATCATGAGAAATTTAGTATATTAATCATATCACAAAACAAGATTAATGTTTTAATTTTCCTGCAATTACATTTTAATCAACTGCCAGAGCCAGATAGATCTGGAAATAAGACATGCTTTAAATTTGACATTCTTTAAAGAATATATAAATTTCTTGAAGCAGATGCTCAAAATGGATTAAATTTAAGGCTTTAGAAATTTCAGCAAATCTTTCATATAGGAAACTTACCTGCTGAGTTTAATGTTATAAGTTGAACATTTGATCCTACTGAAGGACTTGATGTATTTCTTGAAACTGTTTCTAGAATAAAAAAAAGATTACTAAATATAAATATATAACAAATAAATTTTAAATATTAAAAATTATTTCATTGCATGAAATTAACATCAAAAACAGTTTATCATAGTATATCACAAATCTTCTATTCTGAATACCGGTATTTTGAACAATCTCGTACTCACTTAACCTTTATTGTCTGGTACTACTTAACCATTCATAAAAACAAATGTTTTCGGCCTCAGTCGAGGTCTGCTTCAGGTTAAAAGAATAATCAGATTCCATTCTTAGAACGAACGTTTAGTTTTAAAATATATTCAAACTTATGCGCGTGTTATGTATTGTCATTGTTTTCTTGTTCTTCGCATATGTTGCGCCAAGCATAGGAAACGTGTTGCCATCTTTGGTGTTTATACATCTCCCTGTCTGGCTGACTTTGTATATTTCCAGGGCTTCAAGGGCTCTGATGTGGTCCATATGAAAAGCTCTATTTATTAATTTGGCATTGGATAGTTCTGCGTGAATATCCAGGTCGGTGGCATAGGTGGATAGGGCAGTGGTGTAACGAGCATTGTCTATGCCATATTTGTGTTCACTAATCCTCTGTTGGATGGAATGCTTTGTGGAGCCAATGTATACCATTTCTCCCTAAATCTATCATCCCTCACAGGAATACTATATACCCCTAGAGCCCTAAGATCATTCTGTTTGTCTTTTGCATTACGTAATAATTGATATATATTGGGGAATCTTCGGTATGTTACACTGGTGTTCATTTTGGTTGCAATTTCTTTATATAATGCTTGAAATTGTTGGTTGTATTCAACGATGGTGCATCTGCTGGCTGGGTCCTGAATAGCCTATTGAGTAATGGGTGTATCCTGTGTATCAAGTGTTCAGAAATAGGCACGTGCTAGCCCTCATATTAGTTCTTTTTTGTATCCACGTGCCACTGTGATGTGTTCTATATTTTGTAGTTCAATTATTATGTCACTCCACTTAGAAGGGTGCGTATATGCTCTTCTAACCAACACCCAGAATGCTGCAACCTTACAAGTGTACGGGTCAGCTGAGTTTGCCAGTATAAACCATGGGATGTAGCTAGGTTTATAATATATACCCGTTTCAATCACTCCACCATTGAGCTTGATGTTAATGTCTAAGAAGTGTGCAGTGGTAGTAGTCAATTGATCCAGTTTCAGGGTCAGCCTGTATGTTCATGTGACTCAAAAAATCATTGATGTTCGGTTTCATTTTCCACGGGATAAAGACATCGTCCACATATCTCTTATAAATAATTATATTAGATCTATACTTTGGTATCTATAATTATGTGGGGCGCCGAAGGTATGACGAGGTCATACTTCTTTTTGTCGGCAACAGTTTGGTGGAAACTGTCCACTTGTCAGGGGATGGCTGGTTTACTTTTGCTGTCCCAAAGAATCAGGATTGTTTGTCTTTGGTTGAGTGGAGGAGGAGCGAGGAGTCGTCAGTAAGTCGTCGGCTTTAAACGAGCAAGGACACCATTTAACAAGAAAATCAACGATTTATTGAATAACAAAAAAAGAATTACAATAATGAAACTAACATAACTTCTATCTTTCTTAACTTCCAAGTACAAGTAAAAGGGGCCAAGAGAGAGCTTACACATTTGATATCATACCTCTTTGAAACTTGAATCTTCGTGGAAACCTCTTTGTAGGTTTCCATGGCGATTCAAGTTCATTAAGGGCACACAGATCTCCTAGAAGTGGTTTTTAGGGTATTCCAAATAGGCACAAACAAAAAGTTCGTGACTGTGGCGACAGATGATATCACTTTTGGGAGGTTCGGAGATTCTACTTGTCGGTCTTTGATGTCGTTGGTCTGGCTTTCGTTAAGAGACTCCCCCGAGGGAGGATGAGATGGGCTTTTATTGATTTGGCTTGGAAAAAATGTCATGTGATAGACTGTTATAAGAGCTAAAGGTCACTTTAGCAGGTGGGGAGGTCAAAATATGTTCCCGGGACCATAATAAAGTAAAAATTCATACGTTAATTGTAAACTTTAAGTCTTGCAATATGAGAACAACATTGTTAGAGGGTTGAATGTTTACATTACAGCAAGAAATTATAACTTTCTATCATTGTTGATGAGATATTTGATTCTTTTTCTCCGATGATGTTATTTTAACGTTAAGATTTATTTAAGATATGTCGAAAATTTAAGAGGAAAGTGGGAAAGTGGCATACAGGTCAGATCTCACACCATCTCACATAAGTCACTAGACAGCAGGCTGCCCATGGGTACCCTATGTTTTTGTAGATAGGTCCTGTTGTTAAACTGGAATATAGAGTTGTAACATATGAGATGCATCAGTTCCAAGATCTGTTTGCGATGTGTAGGTGTTCTAAATTTGGTCAATAGGAGATCCCTCAGAGCACAAAAGCACGATTGTAACTTAATCGAAGAGTATAATGATATAAAGTCACATACAGTGATGTGAACCAAATCCGTTACCTGCATTTGTCTTAATCGTCCTATAAGTTCTTTGGAGCTCTTGACATTTAGATCGTAATCCCTCATGGTCCGATACAATGTTATGGACTGCTTTTTCAAGAAGTTTTGTTGGAGAACTGGCCTTGTCCAAAATGGGACTAAGAGAAGGTGTGGGCTTCTGTGTTTTCACAAAGGCAAATAACCTAGGTGTGTCCGGTGATGCCACCACCGTCCCTTTCAATTTTAGCTCCCTGGCAAGTGATGTTTTTGTAAAGCGTGTGACTCGAGCCTGTAGTTTGTAAATGTATCTGTCGTCAATCGGCTCGCACTCCGTGTTGGTGATGTATTGTCGCATCAGACTTCTACAGTTGGTTTCTTTCAGGAGTACTAATGCCCTGCTCTTGTCAGCTTTTAAAACAATGATGCTTTCCCTGGCCAACCATTTTTTGGTTTTTTATAAACGTCACCAAAATCCTTCATCTTTGGGATTTCGAATGTGGCTCTCCATCTGTAGTATTCTTTGTGGATGTCCTTCATGCCCATGATCATCCTTTCAATATGTGGCGTCACACTATCCAAGATCAGCTTTGGGGTTCCCAGAGTGTACATCAGGCCATTCGCTAAGATGCCAATCAGATAATCTGGTGAAGAGATGCTATCCCAACATACTAATGGAAATATAAGTACGTCCTCCCTAATGGGTCTCTATATTTTAATTCCAATTCATTTTTCTTTTGTATTTTGCAACCAGGTTCCTTGCTAAGATTTCCTGATATGCAGCAGCCCTTTTGTTTGCTTCCTGTAGGGCTGATATATTCTAGGAGAAACCTCTTAACATATAGGCGTTAAATTAGAAAAGAGCGTTACTGAAGAGGACTGATATATTCTGCCCGAATAGAACATTTTCCTCCTTAATTAGTTTATTGAGCTTGGAATACATGCACCTTCTTGTTGTTCTAATTGCTTTTCTCAAACATAGATATCTTAGCTTTGGCAATAGGAACTCACATCTTTTTGGGAGATGTATACGGTATATGATCATGGGGAAGACTCTTTTTCTCTGGCATTCTAATAGGAAATCCAATTTTGCTCTAGCCCTAGTTAGGGTTAGCACCAGTTTTTTGTATGTGTTAGCTGGCATAGCTTTGTAAATCACAAAGCTGGCTGGACTGGGACCAAAGATGGCAACGTGCTTTCCTACGCTTGGCACTACATATGTGAAGAACAAGAAAACGATGACAATACGTAACATGCGCATAAGTTTGAATATATTTTAAAACTAAACGTTCGTTCTAAGAGTGGAATCTGATTGTTCTTTTAACCTGAAGCAGATCTTGACTGAGGCCGAAAACGTTTGTTTTTACGAACAAATGGATGCCGCTACTCTAAAACCAACATTACAAAGGAAAAAGTGCACTTCAGAATTTTTTTTATTATTAGGTGAAACATTAGTTCTTATATTCATGACTGGAGATGGTATTCTTCAACCTTCTATAATCTGTTCAGTATATTTTGCAGCATTTCTTGCATTTGGTTAAGCAGTACTGGACAATAAAGGTTAAGTGAGTACGAGATTGTTCATAGTATATATTCATTTCTTTCTCATTATTTCAGAATTTTTAAATTAATTACTTTAAATTTGTTGTAAAAGCAAAGTTATTTAAAAATGAACAATTCTAAATATAAAATTATTTACTCATCAATCTGAATGTGCTAACTGATTTTAAAATAAACTGCCAAATTTAAAAAATATACTAGAATTTCTGCAGTCAGAAAATCACAAAATGAACTGTATCAAAGCCAAATTCATTCTTCTATTAAGACTAATTATATCCAAAAATTCTAGAGATTATATATAAGAAGCATTGCTACCTTCATTGTAAAGAATCAAATACTTGTATATGATTCTTAAGTAAGTGTTCTATGACAAAAAATTGTTACTTTCTATGTAAAGTTATGAGTATAATCAAACTTTGCTATTTTCTAATTTATGAAAGCTATCCTAAAAATTGTTTACTTAATGCAATTGATTCTTAATTATATGAAAATATCATAAAATGAATCAAACTAACACTTTATAGAAACATTTCTGAAATACAACTATAGACCATTTTCTATTTTCTTACGAACATGCAACATTTTTCTACTAGATATTTTGGAAATGTGAAAAAGTTTCTCATTTAATATAAAAATAATTTAATATAACTAAAAAAGTCATCAATAAAAAAAACTTGCTTAAGAAAATAATTATTACAGTAATACCTTGACTTATGCTACCCCGACTTACGCAATTTTCAAATCTCGTTAGGAGTATTAAGTACTGGGGTTGGATGTCACGCCAACAGTTATTTCAATCAAAACTTCTTCCAAAACTTCAGACTATGAGGCATTAAATATTCAAATCTCGTCGTCGATTCGTCTTTTGTTTGAGTGCCACGCAACTCATGATTACTCACTCCCCCCACACTATTGTTCAGCTTACANATAATTTAATATAACAACTAACAGTAAAAAAATTTTATGGAATAATTTATATGTCAAATTATATATGGCAATTTGCGTGTGTGAGTAAACCTACTAGATGAAATGCAAATATTAACAAAGTTTGCAATGAAGTTTTATGAAGCAGAATTGCAATTTGCTTTACAACAGCAGTTTCTGATTAATAATTTGTTGATGAATCAAACAAATCAGAACTTCTAGAAGAATCCATAAACTATATCAAAGAAGACTGGACTGATCTCATTACAGCAATGAGTGATAAAATGTGTCATTCAAAAATTTTGTCAACATTGACAATGATCTAGCTGTCTAAAGACTTATCTGAAAACGATTTCATTGTTGAAGTAGAGCTAAGTATAAGAAACAAGCAATGAAGATGCGGAATAAACAAATCCTGTCAAGGACAAATATCTTGCCACTCTTACAATTATAGAAGCCAAAACAGCTCTTAGTTTTTAGAGGCTTTCTAGAAACTACATCATTCACAAAAAGAAAAAATGCTTTAAAGACAATTGACTACATCAAAAATATTGTTAAGCAATAAGCAAGTTGTTGACAACAATCATGTAAGTGTAATATATAACATAACTTTTTTCTCTAATACTTTGCCATTTTGTATATATATATATATTGGAGACTCCCCCGAGGGAGGATGAGATGGGCTTTTATTGATTTGGCTTGGAAAAAATGTCATGTGATAGACTGTTATAAGAGCTAAAGGTCACTTTNATTGTGATATTTACAATTTCACTAAAATAATGATAGTTTCCATAAAATTTCAAGTAAAAAATTTTTCTCTGTCCCTTCAACTTTGAGTTATTGAGTCTAGTGTACTACATATATTAAAAATACATTTTTTTTTAATTCCATTTTTAATGCCACTTCTTTCAATATCCAGTATATCTTTGGAAACTTATACTGAAGAATTTTGATAGAAACTACTTAAATGTACTGTACATCAAACTGTTTAAAGTTTATATAAATCATAAATATCCATTGCTACATTTAATTTATAAAACTATTTTTTACAGTAATTAAATCTTATAAATATAAACATTTAAATTAAGTAATAAAATTGAATTAAAATATCATAAAAATACTCATTTATACCTGTTTGATTTGAGGGTGGCACACCAATTATTATAGTTCCTGTCCTGAAATATCACAAAAATTTTTTTATTATATAAAATTACAAATTAATTGCACATTTAAAACCATACATCTTCATAAATAATTAATAATAATAATAATAATCACTGTTATTAACAAACACAGTAAGATCAGTCATGTAATAGACATCTCTGTTCCAAACACTCATAACATGAAAAATGCCCACACTGAAAAAATCAACAAGTACACTCGCTCAAGAAATAAGACAGATGGGGGAGGATGAATAAGGTATTTATTGTACCTGTTGTCATCTCTTCTACTGGTGTTATACCACATAACTACACAAAAGTCTAGAAATGTTAAACCATAATAAAAACATATACACAGCACTACAGAAAGCTGCAATATTAAACACATGTCACATTGTTAGGAAGTTTCTAGAGGTTGATACATATACTAACAACACAGCTTAATGTTACACTTGTTTGAATAGTTATGACTTAACTTTAATCTGGCATAGCACTTGGCACAGTATCAGCTGAGCATGAAATTCACAACATAATAATAATACCTATTAATACATGAAGCGTGCAATGCCATAATGTTGTAAATGCCAAAAAAGAAACTTTTCACGAGTGGTAAAAAACTTTTTCTAATGAATGAATTCATTTCAATTTTACAGTAAAATGGTAAAAAACTCACTGGGTTACAAATTCTCTGGAATATCAAAATGATGTAAAGATAAGCTGCAACATTTTGCACGCCAAAAGTCACATGACTTGAACTCTCTCACTTTAAATGTTATATTTTCACATAAATTCATCTTCAAAATACAGCCACTTACACTGCCAATATCGCCACAATCTTCTTTTGTGGCAGAAAACATTGCATTTAGAATTCAATTCTTCAATAAAACATATTTAGAAAAAAGTGGCATTTACAACGTTATGGCATTGCACACTTCACATATGTCCCTGTATTCAGTTATTCTTGTGGAGTTATACACTGAACACACACAGATTTCAAGCAACTCCTAAGAAAAACAAGAACACTTACTAAGCATAAACAATATTATCCAAAATCACCCATAAAAAGACAACTCTTCCTTGTAAAGTAGGTGGCTGTAGCCTATCTAATATAGTTAACCTGTACTACAAGCAAATTCTGACTCTGCAAGAGTTTTTCCACAAAACCATCAAGATATATGTAAATAAAGCTCATAATACATTACTACAAATTAATCTACTAAAAATCTTTTAACACATTCAGAGCAAAAGAAAATCTACAGTACAATCTAACATAAAACAATTACTGTACTATAAAAGATATAAAAATTTTCCTCCAGACAATATCTTATTATTAAATGTGTATTACAAGTATTATATGTGCAAATTCATATATGTATTAAACTATATACCAACAATGACTATTTGTATTTGTAGTTAAATTTTAATTTTAAAAAATATTGGCTATTTGATAGCTACTTTTGAGCTAGTGATATTTGTGTTGTGACATTTTGTAGTGGCACTTTAGGAAATGTTTATATTCTTTGTTAATGTGTGAATTGATGCTATTATCAAGTGTTGCCAGAAAAAAATAACTTATTGATCCTATTTTTAAGTTATAGAAGTAAAAATTAGATTACACCTTTTTATTTGAATTACACAATGAGTTTTACAGAATGTTGAGTTAATAAGAGTTAACTTTTCCAGACTCTACTGTACTTTACTACAAAAACATATTTTGGTAGTAAAATATTCACTTTTTTCATTTTAAAACATCTATTAATTTTCAATTTTTTTTAAATGTCTTCTTTACTCATGAAAACACAAATATTTGAAAACATATTTTAGTAAAATGATTATGATATTTACAGTTTAAATTGTATTATGTTTTCATAAAATATTGTGAGACTCAGCCATGTTTACTAAACTACAGCCTGACCTAAATCATTAACAATACTATTTTATCGATTAAGTATCAAATTTCACACCTGGGAGTTAATCACTCAGCAAGTTCTCAGTCGCAAAAGGACGCTTTCACATAACCTTCCGACCTATTATTGCAAAGTTGTCAAATGAATATAGCTAAAAACTGATTTTCGTGGCTGTTGTTGCTGTTCTTTCTGTGTGTTACCATCTTCACCCGATCCTTAGAAGGTTTTAGTTTCAACTCATCGCTCAGTGCATGTTCTTGGATTTACCTACAAACCATCGACTTACGAACATCTCAAGTGCCAACCCCTTGGATTATTTCATCAGAAACTCAACGAACTAAGTGCCTCTTATTGGAATTATTATCAACATCGCCGATTCAGAACTGAATAACCTCATAAAGACTTACCCAACCTCAAGGTAATTATCACCATGCAGCAATTGTAAACTCTCTCTCTCATTTGCATATTATACCACAAAAAGAACTTAATTAATCTTAAATGTAAAAGATGTATAGTTTATCAGTACCCATTAAACTTGTTACATTAATCGAGTCTCTGCATGAGTCATTTCCAGTACGCTGTCTCTCACTCTATCCGCCTGAACAACCACATCCACTCGCGTAACAACCACAACCCTGACGGAGGTTACACTGGTGTCAATCCTGACAAAGACTAAGACCCACTGGTCACAATATCATTAGTGTTTCATATATTTTCAAAACTTATTTTGATTTCAATTATTAAAATCATATAAATTGTAAAATTCTTGTTTACTAATATTTTATAATTAATTAAATAATTGATCAAAGTTAATATAAAATTTATAATTTTAAAAACTAAACTTTGAATGCATTATTTACTGGTATACTTACAATACTTAATAAAAGTATATCATCTGAGTTTTGAAATTATTGTTTACAAAGAATTCTGCAAATTTATTCCTTTTTTTTAAGAACATATTTATCCAAATCATAATATAAATGAATCATAGATTCTACTTATTATTTATAAGTTTACAGATTAAGAGAAATTTATCCATAAATTATAATTTGTATACTAAACTATTATTCATTCATTAAAAAATTCTCAAAGTACATTTGATGAGTGAATATTTATATAAAAATGAAAATCTGCTGAGGTTAGGTTACTGCATTTGTCTGTAAAACAATCTAAACAGTATACAGAGTATTAATGGTTTTTTGTACTAAATAATAGTAATATTGTATCATATTACATTTAATTTCATTAATTGTGACATACATCTAATAAATTATATATATATATATATATATCAATTAAGCACTACAAAACTTAAAAAATAAATTGAAAATGTATAACTAAATCTTTACTTTCAAAGCAATTACAAGATGTTTGTAATAAAAATTGTTCCTAAAGTGTATCATAAACAAGTACAGATATATTTTATCATTATGTTGTATTAAACTATGAGGTCTGGTAAATTCTAAAACTTTCATATTTTCCTCCCAGCAAGCACTACTAATGGAATGTGTATCATGCTTCTATGTAGTGGCAACTACATAGAAGCATGACACACATCTGTATTGTACAGTCGACCCTCCTATAACACTGCTGATTATTCCGTTTTATATGAATTTTCCATGTAGTACAAGTTGCTTAGATTTTACAAATATGTGAGCCGTTCACAGCCCAGCACACGTATTTGTAAAATCTAAGTGACTCGTACAATGTAGATTTCATATAAAATGGAATTATCAACATTGTTATAGGGCAGGGGTCGGCAACCTTTTGAGTCAGAAGAGCCAAAATTACAATTTACAAAATTTCAAAGTTTTTAAAGAGCCACAAAATTTTTTCTTGCCAACAATAAATAGTACTCGCATAAATAAAGTTTTTTGATAAAAAAAACTAATCTATTTATTCATAAGAAAAAATATCTATTTATTCATATATAAGTAGTGTTTTTCACAACAAATTAGATAATAGAAACATCCGACGACGGCGTCATTCGAGAGCTTCCGACGGACTGACAACAGTGACGACGCATGTCACGGGGGAGGGGTGCGGTGAAAAGCGAGTACAAGTGGCTGAGAGATAGAATCAGTGCCTAATCCTCGTTAATCGATTCAGAACGTTTTTCAAATGTTTTTTTTTTTTGATAAAATAAATAATATTTGCGTATGGAACTAAGAGCCGCAGCTTCACATCCAAAGAGCCGCATGTGGCTCGCGAGCCGCAGGTTGCCGACCCCTGTTATAGGGGGCCAACTGTACTCTGTGGCAGTATGCCATAGATTTTATATATTTCATTTTTGTATATATTTTTATTTCTTCTTGATTTCTTCCCTGTCTCTTTGTTCCTTTGTTCTTCTTAGTTCTGGAATGTTCCTACCCAACTCTTTTCCATCAGGTGTGGATGACTAACCAATCAGACAATGAACAGTAAAAAGCCCTGAAGGCAAAACTGGGACTATGAGAAACACTTTTTGGCCAGACATCCAGGGAGAAGGAGGTGAAGTGGGAGAGCTCCAAGTTGTTAGAGGCATCAGCTACAGCCACAAAAGAAATCACAGGGTAGAAGTCTCAACTGGAGACTGAAGAAAAATCAAAAGTGAGAAAATTCTTAAGAATATCCCAATAGAATAAGGAAGACCCAGCACCCTGTTTCGTAAGGACGTTGAAACTGAAATTTTGTCACTGAACCCCAAGATATGTCTAGAATTGAGTACCCTCTTTCCTATAAACTTCTCTTTCATTTACCTACACCCTATCTTTCTAATTACTTTATTTTAGTTTTAAGTAGGTTAAGGCGCTAGGATTAAGAAACTTCGGGTTATGATTGGTATTATTTGGATATATTGTAATTATCATGCTTATGTCTTCTTGTGGTTATTCAATCAATTGTGGATCTAAAATTTTAAGCCATAAAGAAAAGAATTTGTAAATATCCTCCAAAATCTGGGAGTTGGAACCTGTAAAAACTGTGTTCAGACATGAAATAAAGGTATTTTCTTTGTGTATTTTATCTTTGTGTAATTGCATTTCACACTGAACATCACAATTGGTAAGTATTATAGCACAAACTGCAATGCAATTGCAACTATTGCTTTAGTCATTGTGCTATGCCTGTTTGTATCAACCAGTGTTATGCATATTCTTGACTTTTATTGTGTTTAAAATGAGCCATTTTTACAAACAGCAAATTTATGTGAAATTTTGTGTTAAATTGGGAAAATCCTTTAGAGACATTTGAAATGTTAAAAACAGCTTTTGAAAATGAAGCTTTAAACTGGCTTGCCATGACTGAAAAAAGCAAGAGAAGGGTGACCAAACATTAAAGTCATGCTGACAGTTTTTTCAATTCTGAAAGAATTGTTCACCAGAATTCTTCCATGAGGCAGGGCAGTGACAAAGGAATATTACCTTAAAGTAATGAAATGTATTTGTGAGCCTATCAGAAGAAAAAGGCTCAATGCTTGGAGGTCAAACTGGTGGATGTTCCATGCTGACAATGTGTCTGTGCATACATTGCTTGGGGTTTTTGACAAAACAAGACAACAGTCATTCCACAATATCCTTACTTGCCAGATCTAGCATCAGTGGACTTGCTTTTATTCCCCAAATTAAAACAGAACTTGAAAGATCAACATTTTGAGTCAATGACTTGATAAAGGAAAATTTGCTAGCAGAACTACACAGTATCCCAAATGAAGCATTACTGAAATGTTTTGAAAGATGGAAGAAATCTTGGGAGAGCTGTGTTTAAAGTGAAGTTGTTTTGAAGGTGACAAAACCAGATAGCTTTTAAAGAAAACAAATATTTTTTAAATAAAAAGATTTTTTATTTAAAATATTCAGGAATTTACTAGACATACCTTGTAATTTCAATGAATCATATACCAATATTAATTTTATTCATAAGTTTTTATTATTATTTTCCAAATAATTTTTTATACTGACCTTCCCTTACTAGCTGATAAAGTAAATCGATTACTATATCCATTTTCCCTAATTTGACAAACAACACTTTCAACTTTTTCTTCTAAACATTGGCATCTTGAATTAACATTCTCTACTTTTCTTTCTATATTCTCCAGTCTTTGGATAATTGCTTGTTGAATAGGAGCCAGAATTTTCTGTAAAATTAAATCATATATTTCATAAAAATAACAGTTATAAATGTATACATATAATGATATATTTTTTATACAAATTCACATAAAACCTATTAATCCTTATAGTGAATTAGATGCACATCCAACTGAAAAGTTATCTTTATAAAGAAACAAGTTATACTAAATGTTAACTAGAATGAAAAGTTCGTAAAACTTGCAAACATTTTTGCTTGATCTTTTTCTGTATACTATAAAATAAAACAAAACTCAGTAGAATAAATTTAAAATATTTTTGAAAAATCCCATGAAATTAATTCTGATTTGTGTTAAACAATTATTTACAGTCTTAAGGGTATTACAAATAACTAGTACCAATTTTTGATAAACTCTTGTATAAGTCAATAAAGAATGAAAACAAGTACCTAGGTACCGTTACAATTATCACACTGATTTATGATGTTAAGATAAATACCAACTAGTCAATATTACACTGAACTCATTGTATGCAATGTCAAACTAAATTTGTACATTCACTATACACAATCCCTATAGTGGCACTAGCAGAACTGCGATGTTTACTATTGATATTGCCTTTGTCACACCAGTGTACACTTGTAATTCATAGACAATGTAACCATAGTGATGTCTGTAGAGTTATAATGTACATTGTTGTACTAAGCACATTGCTGTAATCAGCAACAGAGGACTTGTTTATATAACTAACTGATGTTGGCACCGATGGAATTGTATGCTATATTATCAATGTTGCCACAGCAGCACCTACAGAGTGCAAAGAATTAAGATATAAAAATATTCCTGTTTTATTGTCAAATGTCCTTATTGTAGAATGTCTACCTACAGCAATAATTAAACAAAATGGTCTATTTTATAGTTGTTATATTATTAATTAAAAGCAATATTTATTTTTAAATCAAATTTTTATGATTTCACAATACATTTTTGTTGCATTATCGTTGTATCAAATATTTCTTATGATAAAAAAAAAATATCTTTTAGAATACATTATCAGAATAAAATAGTGTGTAACAATTCATAAAAAGTATGAATTAGTCATGGAATTATTCATGTAAAACACTTCTTTTGAAAGTATTTAGTATATTAAATCCAACAGAAATTCAGCCAAAGTCCTGATAAAATAATAAACACGAACTTATCACTTTTATACTGCAGTGCCATAACTTTGTATTTAAGATATTTATGTTATATTTCTTAATAAATAGTATTATTTCAAATTTAAAAATTAGTTTTAGATGAAAAAATTTTATCAACTAAATAGTACAGTATTTAAATTTTATATTTCTTCATAATATATATTAGTAGACAGTGGAAAGCTGAGTGGTTAAGATGACAGCCTACTGCTCTGTGGTGACAAAAATCAAATCTAGAAGAGTCAAAAAACCCCAGGAATTTTTTGGGGTGTGTCTGTCCTGAATATGTTGAGCCTTTGCACTGTGATATATGAGGTACGAGGATTTTAAAAATGGTCTTTTCAACTATCTTGGAGCAATTTTTATAAACATTTATAAATTTTGATATATAAATTCATTTTTTGAATATCAGAAATTAAAAATATAAAAACTTAAAATAAATGAGATCATAATTTCTACTACTTTTGTTTACATGTTCAAAAAATATTGGAAAGTAGCACAGATAAAACATCCAAACAAAAATACCTACTGACCAGTGACAAAGTACATAACCCTTCATATTTCCAAATGGTAGCTTTCTCAAAATCACCTAATGAAACTTGGATTAGTTGCTTGATGCAGCAACTGAAAGTCTTGTGTGTGAAAAGCTCCAGGCTAAGAGTGACCAAAATTTGTGGCAGAGAACACTGATACCCAGCTATAAATGCATGCTATTAATGCCTATCTAAAAGTATATCTTCAAAATACATAGATTTCAATGAAATGATGAGTGGATTCAACTGAGTAGTGCCATTCAGTGGTGCAACAATCACCCATCTGAAATGTTCATAACCCAAAGTATTTTCAGATCATTAGAGGGAGAAATTATTGGAAAAAAGATTCATAATACTGAATTGATTTTTAACTTTCTAATTTATATTGCTACATTCTAACATCTCAGACAGATGCTTCAATGTCACTCTCTCTGTAAACAATTCTTTAATTTAAAAATTAATTTTAAAAAAATTGTTTTATCTATATCTGATAATCTGTTTTAATATTTATTTTCATAAAATTTTTAGTTAACTGCCATATTTGTTTACAGTTTTTACCTTTCATATCCAATTATAATAAAATGTATTGTAATCTCATACACTCTAAATCAGGGGTGTCAAACTCAAACTCTAAGTGCCAATTTTTTGTCTCTAGTATGACAGCGAGCCAGATTAAAAATAAAATGCAAATGTAATACTAAGTATAAATAAGAAGTATATAAAGAATGATTTTATTAAAGAAAAAAATTATAATTTTTTTAAGCAGAGATGTATTAAACCAAAATATTATTTTGAGGATCCAGAAACTTGACTTCTTCTACACTTTGTTATCTCCTCAATCTCATCTGTATGGTATTTAGTCTTGAACGGTATTTAGATTTATTAATCTTCATTGTTGAAAACAACTGTTCACACACACATGAACTTCCAAATATGCATATAATGCAGGCAGTGTGGTTCCTTAAGTTGGGCTAGCTATTTTGATTTTTGAAGTACTTTGTATAAAATGCCAAAATGTCAACTTCATTGAACTTGTTTTTTAATTAATAAAGTACTTTAAGATACTTTTTAGAAAGTATTTTTTTATTTATAAAATGCATGCTTAAATTGAAATCAAAAGCATTGAAAAATAAATTTTATTAAAATTAATTTTTCAATGTTTTTGATTTCAATTTTTGACTGATTTTATGGTAGATTCTAAAGAAATACAGTAGACCCCCTATAACATGGTAGATACATTCCGGTTTTTATGAAATCCATTTTCTTTGCTGAACTTTGGAGATATCATTAATATAAATATAATTTTTATGGCCGTTAAATAATAATGGTTTTTAGTAGGTCCGCTGCTTGTTTAAACTCAACAGTTTGTGCAATATCCGCTATTGGTCTAGATTTGACCAATCCTGTCGCGACATGAGTCAGCAATAACATTTTACCATATCATATGAGTCTCTTTTAGTGTGTTTATACAAATACGATTGCAATTTTTCCGCCGTTATATACAAATCTGTATCGTATGAACCTGTTTTATAGGGGTCTACTGTATATGCACTAGAAGAGGACAGTAGTCCAAAAAGTTTGGATAATGCTGATTTAACTGATTTATTCATCTCCAAATAGGTACAAGGAATTTTCATTTCTAATATTAGCTAGTGTTGGCTGCATATACTTCTTACATATTCACATTTTTCTGTATACATTGTTTTCTCCTTTCACATCTTCTAAAATTCTCACTTCTCTCCACTTCACATTAATGCATATTCTATTGCTGTCATCATATTCCATTTCTTGTAATCCTCTCTAAGTTCATTTGACCTTGTCCTCGTTTTTATTGCAACTATGTAACATCTTTTTCTCAATTTTTGTCTATTGGCACTATATAAAATTTCATTTTATCTTCTATTGTTCTCCTCTCTTTCTCTTCTTCAACGTATCAAATAAGGAGGTGTTTCTTTTGTAAACAATTCTTTTAATTATCACAATTTCTAACTTTCTAGGAATGATTTATAAGCCCACTTGAAAATGAATTGTATGAGACTGATTAAATTAACCAAAATGTGCAATATAAAATATTTTATTACAAATAAATATGAAAGTTAAAGGTTATAAAAATACAACAGTTAAATTTAAAAAATAAAAATGAACACAACTATAACATCGTGTGACTTTCTCATATTGTGATAGAATTGAGATGGAGTCAGAAGGAAAAAAGTGATCCCTGAGGCATAGAAGAGACAATCCTTATACCTGATGGATGTGGACAGGTAAACTTTGCACTTGCCACCTCAAAAGCAGTTTTCTTGTAATTGCCGGCCATGGGAGAGAGAATCCTTGCACTTAACAACACAAAAATGCAATCCAAGAACAAAGCAATTGCCATTGATTGCTCTGTTCTTGTTTTTGTTCATTTTTCATGCTTATTTTTCATTAAACATGCAGAATGCTGATTTTATTTTTGACCACTAGGCCCAAATTCTGTTACATATGCTCAGTCATTTCAGAGAGCACGGACATTATCTCTTTAGGCCTAATATTCCTGTATATTGAAAATAAAGTCATGAACTCCTATTATTTACATTTAAATGAACTCTCATTACATTTTTGGATTCCTCCTCACAATTAATGGAAAATGGCAAAGTTTTATCAAAATCAGCCCATTATTTTTTAAGATTGAACTCAATTCTATAAGACCATAGAATGCTAGCTAGCAACTGTGGAACATCATGCAACAAAGTCACATGATTCATGCAATATTACTTTGTTGCATGCTACAACCTTATATCTCGAAAACAAAGGCACAGACTCCCATTTTTTTTTATTACATTTTTGGATTTCTCATTGCAATTAATGGAAAACGGCAAAGTTTTATCAAAATCAATCAAATAGATTTTGAGAATGAACACAATTCTGTAAGCCACATAGAAAAGGCTTCACTAATGCTACTCCTCAAACATTAAAACTTAAATACAAATTTTAAAAAATTTCCATCATATGCTCTGTCCAGCAGAACATTGTCTAACATTGAAACATCTGTTTGAGAAGCTGCTATTAGATTGGAGCAATATAAATTTGAAAGTCTGTATTTGAATTCAGTGTTACATACCTTTCTTCAATGATTTCTATCTCTGATGATTGGCTGAAAGACCAAAATTCTTGAGATTAAGGATTGTAGTCTAAATGTCTCCAATAAAATAGAAAATTATAGCCTTTAAAGTTTGTTTTAGTATTAGTTTTAATATTTAATAGTAGATATTCTGTTTAGAATTATGCATTAAGATTTTATTTTGTACAGACAATTTAATTGTAAAAATGATTTACAAAAAATGATGTCTCCATTAAATTAGGTATTATATTTAATATATTTAGTTGATATTATGTAAACACCATTATTAATAAAAATGTAAATGGAATTCTAAATAAGTATTGTACTTTTAATATTTCATAACAGAAAATATTGTATTAACAACAAAATTTATATACAAATAATTTAATGGCACTTACCTTTAATGCTTCATTGGTTAAGCAGTTTTCTGTAGATATTTTTTTACGTTTTGGATTATGCTCTATATCTGACAATTCATTGTTACATATTGCTACATTTGAACTTAAATTATTAGAAAATGTAAGAAATGAATTATTGTCAGCATCTTCTATATCTTCATTTTTCAGTCTTGTTACCAAATATTCATTGTTTATTGCAAGAACTTTTACAGGATGGTTTAAATCAGGCATATTTTCAGAAGTTAAAACTCCAACTCCTTGATTCATTACTAACACACTTGTAGTTATAGGCATATTTGATATTCTAATATTGTCTGAACCTGTAAAATAAAAAATATATATACACTCCACAAATTCACTTATCCATAGTTATAAAAGTGTAACTGATTTCACACTAAATTATCTGATTTGTATAGGGACAGCTATGAGCATAAGTAAAAAAATTCTGTAAAGCATCATGCTGCATGATATTTCTCAGAAATGTGTCCACCAAACAGAACTGCAACCTTGTTTTTGTATTTTCAACAATTGGCAGCAAAGCAATTTAATGCTTAAAGCACTAACATTTTCAAATTTAACAAGTGATAAACTAAAAATGTTTTGTAATATCCTTAATAGATAAAATTCGTGTTCTTGACTTGTTTTATTCTGAAAGTATGGCAGCAACCATGATATATTTTAAATTAAATATAATTTTATATTTAAATTTAATCATTTAAATAATGTTAGTTCATTATTGTAATTTTCATATTTTATTCAAATTATTAATTTGTCACTACAAACAATTTATATATAATGAAAAATTCAAACAAAAACAAAAAATATTTTTAATAAATATATAACTATTTTTTCAACTTTTCAGTTCATCTTCAGCTACATTGACACTATGAAGATAAACTGAAAGATACATAAATGCTTTATATTTATTAAAAATATATTTTTACTGTTGTTTAGCTATAAAAATCTTTAAATTTTATATTAAACACAGTCATTAAATTCAAATATCAAAGACAGTATGCAAAAAGAAACCTCAAAAACTATATAGTAAGACCCCGCTTAACGCGAGGGATGCATTCCTAGACAACAAAGTGCTAAGCAAAACAAGGTCATTTTAACATAGAGTAAATAGGAATAGGGGAACATGCAACCAAAAATAAACATTTTACTTTAATTTTAAATTATTTTTATATTAATTCGTATAATAATATATGTTAAATAACACAAACATATGCACACAGAAATGTAAAGTTCATTTTTTGTGATGAAGGTCCTGGCTCTTCTGAAATTCTTGTTTTTTTTGCAATAAAGTCATGAAGTTTCATTTGTCGCTTTTTTCTTTCCTTAAACAAAAGTCAGTAGCAGAAGATCGCATTCAAAACACCTCGTTTTGCTTTTGCACTCCTTTCAAAATCTGGGTCATTTGCTACAATTTGATCAACAATTTCAGTTATCTTACCAAACTTTTACCAAGGAAATCTGTAGAGAAATTTTTGGGTTCTTTGTTTTCAGAATTATATTTTCCTATTACACGTGAATTCCATGTTCTGCCCGTTCTTAAAGGTTGTCATTGGTAAGGCTCTCACCAGAAACTTGCTGTAACTTCTCAATATCCTATTCTACATCTCCTAGTCCTGCTATATCGATTAGGTTGAGTTTGGTCAACCTAATGATACAGCGATAGGCTCTTCTCGTTGAGAATTCTTGGATACCTTCAGCCAAAACTTCTTCCACACTTTGTTTGTGCATTTATCAGTTAATTCTTGCCAAGTGAAGTCAATATTTCCTATGGCATCCACGATGTTATATTTTTCCATAATTGCACCAAACAAACATAGATTTAATGATCAATATGCTGACGATCACGCCAAAATACTATATTGTAAAAAGAGAGGCACTGAGGTCGGCGTTATGTGTGCGTTTTTCTTTAATCGCTAGTACTTTCGACGAACATATAGTCGTCGTCATCAGGCGAATTACCGAAAGAATTAAACGGAAATAATCCGATTTGGAATGGAACGCTTTAAATTTAAGATGAAACTTTAGTCAAAGTCGTTAGGAACACGATAGAAATATTCAAAAATGTTCGAAAAACGAACGAGCAGAAAGCTCCATGATGTGCGAATACGCGCTTGCGCAGATCTAAACACACACTATACACATTCTGGAGAATGCTAATTATTACTTAATTGCTTGTATAGTGTGACCCATACACTGGGTAGCTCGAGAGTTGGAATGTTGCACGTGTCCAAGGTAGTAGTAATAAGAGACTCCCATATGAAAACGATTTTCCGATCCTTACAGCTCTTGAGCATAACCGCTTGGGACCATAGCGGGTTGTAACCCTGCTCAAGTACTTTTCTTGCGAGCTCAGTGGTGTGTCTACCCCTCGCAACATCGTTTTGGTGCTCTTCTAGTCGGCTGGCAAGCATTCTAGTAGTGGCCCCAACATATCTTGCGCTTACTCCCATTGTAAGGTTTTCCAGAGGGAAACCTTACAATGGGAGATTCTACAACAGGGACCTAAGTATATCCCACCGACCAACACCAACTTTTCCCAATTGATCCCAGCCACGTTAGCAGCACTCAACTTTTGCCAGAAGGACACTGCATGTTCACAAATGGAATTATCTATAATTACGAAGCTTGCCACGGCAAAACAAAGATCCGGCAAGCCCAAGGGCTTTGTGGACCTTCGAACAGTAGAACACTTCCTTGCCAGAACAAGCTTGAGACTTCTAGTCTCTGACAAGGACCGGAGGTTTGTGCTGTGCAGAGAGAATGACTTTCTCATCAGGGCCAATGAATTTTTAACACAGTCGCATTCCTCGGAAATGAGTGAGGACCCTACTCCAACAGTATTAAGAAAGGCAAGAAGAATCATCGCCTTACCAGGTGTTTCCTCAACCCTAACTGGGTCGCTCGATCCCCCCTCTAATGTTGCATGTCCTAGGTTGTTCTTTCAACCAAAAACCCATAAGACAAACTGGCCGTTACGTCCGCTAGTAAACAAACGGTCTCATCCAACTATTATTTAGAAAAAGCGCTTGCTAAATTCCTTCGCGCATTAGTTCCAAATTCTCCATATGTTACTCCCTCTTCTGTAATTGCTAAATCCACCATCACTTCAAGTATTGGTACACTACGGCCAGACGCCTACACCTTTTACAAGCTGGATGTAGTATCTTTATATCCCTCAGTGCCAACATTTGAGGCAGTAATGCTGGCTAATTCTCTACTTCTAAGAAAGGGCTTTAACATCCAACAGGTGCTTGATTTACGAGATGCGCTCAACTTCGTCACCGAGTGTAATTACTTCCGTTTCAACCAGAAAATCTATTTACAAAAGCAAGGGGTTCCTATGGGCTCCCCTTTGTCTGCTATCCTAGCAGAACTTATTATGAGAGAGATCGAGCACAGAACGTTCAATTCCCCGCTTGCCATCCACTATCCGAGGCTGTATTTGCGTTACGTTGACAACATCCTCATAGCGTGGGAAGACACAGATGAGACATTCTTCATCTTTATGCAGCAACTGTCAAGCATATATCCTTCCATCAATTTCTCTTGGGAGAAAGAAAGCGATGCGGCAATAACGTTCTTAGACCTGCACATATGTAAATCTTCAGAAGGACTACAATTCTCGGTTCATCACAAGTCCAGCATAGCTCCACACATTATACCAGCAGAGGCCTTTCAGCCTTCTCGATATGTCAATGCTGCCATTGCCTCTCTCGTTAGAAGGGCTTACTTACTATCATCTTCGCAAGAGCTGGTAAACATGGAGTTAGACAACATAAGTTTGGGGGTACGCACTGCTGGCTTTTCACGTGCAAAATTTACGCACGTGCTCAATATGGTAAAGAAATCACTGTTTCCAAGTACCACATTATGCAGCAAAAGAGAATTTTCAATGGTACAAACATCGTTGCCATACCTGGGACCCCTCTCTATACGTATCTGCAGAATCTTTAAGCAGCACGGCCTTATACTACCACTAACCCCACTTCCAAACCTACGCAAACTCATTTGTAATGATAGGGACAAATTTTCCACGCTTGAGAAGTCGGGGGTCTATGCTGTACCTCTGGAAAACCTTACAACGGGAGTAAATGCAAGATATGTCGGGGCCACTACTAGAATGCTTGCCAGCCGACTAGAAGAGCACCAAAACGATGTTGCGAGGGGTAGACACACCACCGAGCTCGCAAGAAAAGTACTTGAGCAGGGTTACAACCCGCTATGGTCCCAAGCGGTTATGCTCAAGAGCTGTAAGGATCGAAAAATCGTATTTATATGGGAGTCTCTTCTTACTACCACCTTGGACACGTGCAACATTCCAACTCTCGAGCTGCCCAGTGTATGGGTCACACTATACAAGCAATTAAGTAAAAATTAGCATTCTCCAGAATGCGTACAGTGTGTGTCTAGATCTGCGCATGCGCGTATTCGCACATCATGGAGCTTTCTGCTCGTTCGTTTTTCGAACATTTTTGAATATTTCTATCGTGTTCCTAACGACTTTTACTAAAGTTTCATCTTAAATTTAAGCGTTCTATTCCAAATCGGATTATTTCCGTTTAATTCTTTCGATAATTCGCCTGATGACGACGGC